GACGGCTCTGCCCGGCGTCGGGCGCGTCCGCGCCCTGCCTTTCATCCCCGCTGGGCCGGGCGCTGGGAGAGGGGACGGGGTGCGGAGGGTGGTGGCTCTGAGGGCACCGTCCGAGCTCGGGCTCCGCGAGAGCGGGGCAAGCTGGGAGGCTACGCGAAGGGCGAGAGCCGCAAGTAGAGCGAGGTTTGGGTGTCTCACCAGCTCTGCGTTTGTGTCGGCAGGTGCCCGGGGCTCAGCCTGTACGTCTCCCCAGTCATTCCCATCTACAATGCTGTCGTCTTCCTCTTCGTGCTGGCCAACTTCAGCATGGCCACCTTCATGGACCCAGGCATATTCCCACGAGGTGAGTGTCGCTCAGCTCGCGAGGTGTCGAGGGTAGAGCTAGCTCCTTCCGCTCTCCCCGCCTTCCGTTGCGTGAAGAGCATGGACCCTAGCGCGGCCTGATCCCAGAGGGCTTGGGGAGAACCCACCTTGCCCTGCCCACGTGGGGTCAGATTGTGACACACGCTGCAGGGAAGGTTGGTTGGGATCGATATCCAGCCTTGTGGGTCAGGTGGCAAAAGGAGCATAAACTCCGACGTCCCGTACTGGGTACCTGGTGCTCAGGCGGGTGTTGCGGTGGTGGGACAGGGCCTGGGAGAATCTCTCCTGGTCTGCCTGTATTCCATGGTCCCTGGCCGGTCCCCAGGCCTGGTGTTTGCCTGGGATGGTGACAGAGGAGAGCACGGCTGGGGATCTCCAGCTCAGCAGGGTAGGGGGCTGGCTGCGGTCGGATGTCACCTTCCCCCACGCCCTGACGCGTCGCTGGTGTTTTCCCCCGGTAGCTGAGGAAGACGAGGACAAGGAGGACGACTTCCGAGCTCCGCTTTACAAGACGGTGGAGATCAGGGGCATTCAGGTGCGCATGAAGTGGTGTGCGACCTGCCGCTTCTACCGGCCGCCACGCTGCTCCCACTGCAGCGTCTGCGACAACTGTGTGGAGGTGAGGAACCGCGGTGGGCCGGGTCTCTGCTCACCCCCGAGCTGACAGCGGGTCCCTGCGCCGTGCCAGGCCTGTGCAGGCTGCCGCATAAAGTTTAAGCGCTAGTCCCAAAATACATGATGCAGGGAAGAAGCACCCCCAGCCAAGCCCCTCACTGTGTCTTCTCCTCACCGACAGGAGTTTGATCATCACTGCCCCTGGGTGAACAACTGCATTGGGCGACGCAACTACCGTTACTTCTTCCTCTTCCTGCTGTCACTCACCACGCACATCATGGGCGTGTTTGGCTTTGGCCTGCTCTACGTCCTCTACCAGGTGGAGGAGCTCTCCGGAGTCCGCATGGCAGTCACGTATCCTCTTGCGCTCCCGGCTCGGTGGGGCTGCGGGAGGGGGTCTAAGGGGGAGGTGATCGGCGGGGCTGGGGATGGTGCGCTGCGGAGCAGAGCTGTGGCTTTTCCTTAGTTGCCTGCTGGCAGTATGGCCGTGATGTGCGTGGCCGGCTTGTTCTTCATTCCTGTCGCTGGCCTTACGGGTTTCCACGTGGTGCTCGTGGCGAGGGGCCGTACTACCAACGAACAGGTACGTGTACTGGGGCGATGTGGGGCTGCTCAGCCCGTGTTTGGTATGGGCCTTCCTCCTGCTGCAGCCCATCTTCGACGCTCGTAGGACCACACCTGGATACTGTGTCTAGTTGGGGGCTTCCCGGTAGAAGATGAACATGGACAGACTGGACTGAGTCCAGCGAAGGCCCCCAAGATGGGTGGGGGCTGAAGCACTTGCTGGGGAGAGGCTGTGAGCCGGGTCTGTGTGACCTGGAGAAGAGAACGCAAAGGGGGATCTTACTGCTGCTGTCCTCCATGGGATGGGTGGTTGTAGAGAAGATGGAGCCAGGCTCTTCTCGGAGGTGGCAAGAGGCAACAGGCACAATTTGAAAACAAGGAAACTTGCTGTTAGACATTAGGAAAATCTTTTCCCGTACAAGGGTAGCCAAGCGCTGGAACAGGGGCTCAAAAAGGAGGGACTCTGCATCCTTGGCGATATTTGTAGCTCAACCGGAGAAACCTAAGCGACCTGCTCTGACCGGCCTTGCTTTGGGCAGGAGCTCAGCCCAGAGACCTCCTGAGGTCCCTTCCACCACCACTAAACGTGCAACCTGTCCCGCAGGTGACGGGCAAGTTCCGCGGTGGCGTCAACCCCTTCACCAACGGTTGCTGTAAGAACGTCAGCCGGGTCCTCTGCAGCTCCCCGGCCCCCAGGTAAGCCTGGCGCAGCGCAGCGGGGCCACCCTCGGCCCTGCCACCTCCGGCCAGACAGCCCCGTGCTGAGCTCCAGGCCTTGATATTCCTCCCCCCTCTCTCCCTGGGTTTCGCTAGGTACCTTGGGCGCCCGAAGGCCGAGCAGACGGTGCTGGTGAGACCCCCCTTCTTGCGGCCCGAGGTGTCAGATGGTCAGATTGCTGTCAAGATCATGGACAATGGTATCCAGACCGAGCTGAAGAGGACAAAGGTGAGGAAGGGGGAGATTAGCGCTCCCCGTGCTGGGCCCCCCGAGGAGCCCGGGG